TCTGCCTCCAGAAAGCAATGCAAGACAAAACAAACAAACAAACAGAAAAGTAAAACCACATCAATGGATTTGCATTTCATGAGCCAAGCACTTAACTAAATGTTTAGGTTCCTAATTCTCCACCCCACCTAAGGCACCGATGGACCGAAAGTACAGATGCATCTTGAGTATTTTACAAGAAGAAACACCAATAGCAAAAAGCCTAGCCAAGTCTAAAGATTCTAGAATAAGAGCCAGAAGTACTTGCCACCAAGCCAAAATCCACAGGACAGTGTAGGATTTTATGTAAGAAATAGAAGCCAAATTCTCAAGAAAAGAGCAGAACCAAAACAAAGAAGCATGTGAAGAAAATAGCCAAGAGCTATGAAAAATTGGCTTTGTTGGAAACTGGAGTAGCATAGCATGAATGTAATATCAAAAATTACATAAATAACTCTTATTGGCTTAAAAGCAGCTCCAAAGTTCAGCCAGGATACACAAACGGGTCTGTTTAGGTTGCTCAGAGCTGGCATCTGTTATGACTGGTCTTTGTTCATGCCACACCCATAGGTAGCTATTTTTAGCATCACTCCTCTAGAGAAAAGGATTATTAAGGGCAGTGAGTCAAGACGGGAGGGGTTTTAATTCCAGGCTTCATGTGCTTGTAATCTATAAGAAATAAATAGACATAAATAAGCCAGCTAAGTGTATGCACAAGGTATGATGCTGGCAGGAAGATGGCGTGCCTTCCTCGCCCTGGGGCTTTAGGAGTGGCTGTTCAGAGGAGCTTGCAGTGGAAAGAAAGATTCAGAGTCTGCTTCGTCAGTGGAGGACGGAGCAGGGAAGAGAGCATGACAAGCAGCACAGAGGCATGTGTACAGGTGTCCCTGATCTGTCTTACAGGTCCAATAAGGACGGTAGCAAAGCTCTCTCCCATTGTTGGAAAATATGAGCTTAATATCAGGGTGTTTTGTGGTGGTTTTATTTTGTTTTTACCTTTATAAAATTATGAGAGATAGTAAAAATGTTAAAATGTGCTTACTATTTAGATATACAGTCTAGAAAATAAAGTAAACTACTGTATACCTCAGGAACAAGTCAAAATACAAAAGCCTATGTAGAAGAATACATTTCTCCACTGGGGCAAAGATGAATACAGAACTACATTTATTAATTAGACTGATATTTAAAGAATGGAATGTGTGATCTACTTGATGTTATGCTGCTGCCTTTAGAGGCTGGATGGTGGCAACCACCCCGAAAGAGATAATAAAGGTCTGGAATCTCCTTTTTGGGAATGAAAGAAGCCATGACAAGAAACAAGAATCTCAGAGACCCTAAAAGCCCAAGTCAGGCTGGAGGCTGTGAATCTATGTCTTCTCTTTGTCATTGAATTTTCTCCTGCAGCCCTCAATAGTGCAGCACAGGAGGAACTATAGCCTGGAAGGAGAGAGGGACAGAGTCACGGCTGGCTACAGTGCAAAAACAAGTATTATAACTGGTATAAAAAGATCTCTGTCCTGTTGCAGGGGCTGTATACACCAAGAGAGGTGACAAGAAATGCCATTATGGAAAGATTATTTCAACACAAGTTCCCATGTGCTTAAAGTGAGAGATAAAAGAGACCCATGTAAGTGGTAGTTTTTAGAAGGGAGAAGCCACAGCAGATTCCGGTGGTCGGGCAAGCCCACAGGGTTACAGTACTACTGTTGCTACTGCTTGCTAGCAGCCTTGGGGGCCTTCTTCCTGTGGTTAAGAAATGTAACTCTGCAGAAGAAGGTCAAAGGACAGGTGGTGAACTGCACTGCAGCCTCAGGAAGGAGTAGGCAGCAACCACACAGAATGGTCAAGGAGTTTATCTGACCTAGCTCTGAGCCCACTGGCCAGAGCTGTGAGCTCCAACTCCAGATGGGAACCCAAATCAGCTCAGCCTCCTCCAACCTAGACCTGCTTATCAAAAGAAGGAAAGGGGCTGGAGCCCTCAGGAGAAGAGGAAGAGAGACACATGGAGCTGAATTTCCACCAGCTGACAAAAGGCTGTTGAGGTTTCTCAGTTTGAACTTGTGCACCAGGTTGGTAGCAGGGGAGGGCCATGAACATGTTCTCTGCTAGGGACTGAGTGACCAGAGCTCAATGAGAACAAAGGTGCCAGGAGCAGGGCGAGCCTCAGTTAAGGCAAGCTTGTAAAATCAGAAAGAATGCTCCCCAGCCAGACCGCAGCTCCTCTCTTTCTCTTGGCTTTATACTGACCATATTAACTCCTCTCCTTAGGCAAAGCAACCTCTTCCCTCCATCAAATTTGACCCAGCACAAGTCCTGCATCTTGTGTCCTTTAACTGCAGTCTGTCTTCTATAACATGGTACTATATTTCTCCAACAAAACTATTGTGTTCTGTGTTGTTGCTTCCCATTCAAACCCTTCCGTGCTTCTGCTCGGTATATTTCCTCTGCTTAAATCGCTCTTCTTCTTTCTTTGCTTCTTGAATACTCACATTTCATGGCCAGTTCCTCAGTGTCCCTACCTAAAAGGAATCTAGCTCCTGTTTCACTCTTAAGTTATCTTGCCAGTGAATGACACAGAGTTTTGTTTCTTCTTTTATTGTTGTTAGTATACACACTGACTTTCTTCTACCTCAAAGCTTCTTTTTAGCAGAAAAAGAAACAGGAATTGAACTATCTATCCCCAGCCCTTTTTTTTTCTTTCAAGACAGGATCTCCCTAAATTGCTAAATTGCCCAGGTTGGGCTCAACCTTATAATCCTCCTGCCTCAGCTTCACAGAGTGCTGGAAATACAGACATGCACTCTCACCTTCAGCTGAAGGACACTTAAGAATAGAATTACCACCTGCTTCATCTTGGTTCCTCTACAAAACTTTGCACATTTCTTGGAACACAGTAAATGCTTAATGAATCTATTTAAATAATTTATTCAGGAATTTCTCTCATTTAACTTCCAAAAGTGATTCTAATTTAGAAATTCCATGCAGAATACCAAAGAAGACATACAGATGTGTTTCCCTCAGCTTTGGCCTCCCTTCTTACAGGCTGGACTTTCCTGCAATTTTATTTCCTAATTTCAGACCCTAAGAGCAAAAATCCAATGGCCCAAAAGTAACATGGAGCTCCTAATTGCTTCTTGATTCAACAACTTTGGGAAATAATTTGACAGTATCTACTACAGGCGTATACACATTCTCCATGAGGATACCATGGAAATATACCCAAAACCTGTACAAAAGGTTCATAGCAGCATTATTTTAATAATAAGCAGTTTTTTAAACAATCCAAATGTTCAGCAATACTAGAATGAATGAACAACTATGGTATAGTTGCACAATAAAACATTTTATAGCCCTGACCAGTTACAAATAGTAACATACATAAATCTCAAGAGATATTGATCAAAAGAAGTCGGTCCCTACATACCTTATGATTCCATTTATGTCCACAGAAAACTAGCCTATGACATCAGCAATCAGAGAAAGAGGGCTATAAAGATGAAAAAGAATTTAAGAATCTAGTTTTTGAAACAATTAGAAATAAGAATATTCATCATGCTATGATAAAGATACCTATCTGCGTAAATATCAAACAATAGAGAAATACACAATACTATACTTTAAAAAAGAATGGTGATCTTTGTGGAAGAGGAAGTAGTGAACAAATGGGAAGGAAGTCACGGTATTTCCAAGGGTGTGCCTGCTTAGCAATAGCTCACTGAGATGTATATCTGTAGTATTGTGTGTTTTCTGTACTTATGCTGCACTTTAATGTGTTCATTTAAAAAGGCAATGGTCAGACTATTTATAGAGTGATTTTTATGCAACCAGATTCCCTTCAGGATGATGCGCCCGTGTCTGTCCCTCTTGCCCAGCCATTTTACCACACACACTGAGAAGAGTTATCAAGAAAGAAATGAGTTAAAATGACCTCGGTTTCCTAGAACCAACTGGCACCCAAGCCGGAGCAGTTGAAATAGGAAGCCACTCCCTGAGAAGTGAAAGTTTACACAATCTAGGCAAACAGCTGGTAACAGTGATAACTAACTGCTTCTGTTCTACTTTTGTCCAGCATATCCTATCTCAAGCGCAAAACACCTGTCCTTTGGGGTTTCCTCAGAATGGACAACCAAATTCTACAGTTTAGACCCAAAATAAACTTTAGGGCCTATGTCTTCTCCTATCCTGTGTCTAAGATGCCTGAAAATAATTCATTTACTCACTTAACATGTCTTGGTCACCTACCACCTTAGGCGCAGTGCCATGCACTAATCACATCATTTCCTTTTCGCTTGGATGATGGAATGTAGGCTCCACGAACAAAGGGACCATACACTTATCCACCATGGAATCCTCTGTACTTAGCACAGAGCTGTACATAGGACAGAGCTGCTCAAAACACATTCAGGGAGAGGGTGGAAATAGAGAGGAGGATGTGACAGAGGAAATAAATATTTACTCAGGGTCTGCTTGTGCCAGATATATGTCTAGACGTTGAGCATACAACGGTGTACAAAACAAACAAAAACTTTGATCTCAAGCATTTTATGTTCTTGTAGACTGAAGAGGAGATTGAAAGAAACAAAATAAATAAGTAAAAGTGTGTGTAAAGTAGTAATAAATGTTATGGAGAAAAAATTAAGCAGTGCAAGAGATAAGGAGTTTCTGGGTGGCAAGCTGAATTGACAGCTGGGGGAAAGCATGACTGAGAAGGCAGTAGTTAAGCAAAATGAGAAGTGAAGGAGCAAGGGAGCAGAAGACAGGAAGAGAAAACTGTGAATGCAAAGCTGCAAGACACATATCACTCTCTGTTTTTGCAAATATCTTCAGAGAGCTTCTCATTTCACTCAGAGAAAAAGCCATTCTTTGTACAGTAGCCTGCATGATCTCGCCTACGGCTCGCTAAGTTCCCAGGGACCACATTAGCAGCACAACCAGATGCTCTGGGTTCTGATTTCTCCAAAGAACACAATTCCCAAATTCATGCCAGCTCCTACCCAACACGAGGCTGGGCTCCTTACCTTGGCCCTGATATCCCTTGAGGAGCAGGAGTGTGAGGATGACAGCTTGCCACATTGCCATACAACAGAAGGGTCAGATGGGCCTCTTTTTACGTTAGGCTCTCGGCTGAGCATGGACTCTGCAGTTACAAATCTGGCAGGACAGTGATAAGGAGCAGAACTGTCTCATTGCATGACCAGCCACAATTTCCTGAATTCATGGCTGTTCACTTCTGCTGTGAGTTGACTGAGAAAGCCACATGGCCAGAAAGTTCCCACACACTAAGCTACTGAAATTTGCCTCAAGCAAGTGGGTGATCAGAGTTCACAGTGGCTCTGCAGCCCATCTCAAAATCTTTTCCCTTGCTCCACCCCAGCCCAGCTGCCACATTTGAAGTGCAGATGCACATAAAAGTTCCAATGCCTTCTATCCTACTGGCACTACGAAAAGACCTGTCTAGTTACCCAACAGCCATTATCCCAGACTGTGTTCATCCAACAGATCTTGTGAAGGGCAGTACAGTGTGAGCCTCTCAGTGTGAGCTGAGAAGCAGAACCCTGTATAAATGAGAGCTAATGTTTAAAGAGAGAGGGAGTAAGCAGGGAGACATAGAAAGATACCTAAGGTTTAGGGGCACTGGAAAAATTCTACAAGACTTGAGGACTCTATGCACGTTCATACCAAAGTTCAAGTACTTAAAAATTATTTTTTTCTGTAACAGTTTGATTTTGCTCCAAATTCCTATCAGGAGCTTTATACTACCTTCCTTTGACTTTTTTCTACTTTCATGTAATAGTTCTATTCCTTTTCTTGCCTCCTCCCAGAAAGAAAATGAACTCATTTTTTCTGGCAGCCCATATTCACATTTGGATTCCACCTTCCTGAAACACCAGGGGACTTGGGATCTCTTTGGGTTTCTGTGGACAGATGCAGTCAGTGGCATCCTACCTCTTTCAGAATCCTTTGCACCAAGACCATAACTCAGAGTTCACACCTTTCTCTTTCTTCTGTTTTCTGTTGGGTAATGCACACTTTAAGTTCCTTCCAAGTCCACCCTTCTCTTTTTTCACACTTTGACCCAGTGCCAAACACACAATCTGAAACTGGGCATGAATGAGGCAGACAGAGAAACTTGGCTGCAATGCCAGCATCAAGGATGTTCTGAACAGCCTCCCCCAATCCGAAGTCAAAGATTTAGATTTGACCCTTAGTTCAGCAATTTATAACCTGTGCTATGCACGTTACTTTATGAATCTCCAGAATCAATTATATTGGTTCCCCTTATTCATGAGATAGTTTTCAGTATCAAATTAACAACCATCTCTGAGACTATGTGTATAAAATTGGCACAATAGTCTGAATGTTTGAGCACCCCTAACATTCTTATCTTGAAATCTAAGCAATGTGATAGCATTAGGAGATAGGGTCTTTGAGGAGGTAATTACATCATGAGAATAATGATGTAATTATTACATCATTAGTAGCAAATTCCTAATTCAGGTTGAAATTGTGGCTGGTCATGCAATGAGACAGTTCTGCTCCTTATCACTGTCCTGCCAGATTTGTAACTGCAGAGTCCATGCTCAGCCGAGAGCCTAACGTAAAAAGAGGCCCATCTGACCCTTCTGTTGTATGGCAATGTGGCATATTAGCTCATTTGAATGGGACTAATTCCCTCTATTTAGAATTTTTTAAAAAATGTCTCAGGTGCTTGCCCACCCCTTTTGCCACAAGAAGGCACAGCAAAACGTCTGCAGTCTGCACCTAAGAGAGACCACACCAGGACTCAGTCATGCCGCCATCTTGATCTTGGACTTCCCAGACTGAAAATCTATGAGAAATAAATTCATGATATTATATATGTTATTTTGTCTTAGCAGCCCAAACAGACCAAGGTGAGGTTTTGTTTATTTCACACAGACTTGTATACCTTCATCCAGTTAATCCACTGGTTACCATCTCTTCTCTACTTTATCTGCTCCTCTGTGCAGCTTTTAACTTTTGGGAGTTTCCAGCAGTTGATCTAATAATTCTCTTGACTTTGAAAAATGGTGTTCGAGACATAGGACAACACAGGTAAATTTCCTCATATGACAGATGGAGGAAAAGGTCCAAATGTTGAAAGACAGTTAATGAACAACCTGAATTAGGAATTTGCTTTACCAATTCTGACTTCAACACCAACTCCAGCCTCTTCTGCAAGCATGTAGATGACCTCCTCATCCCCTGGGTAACTGAACTGACTACTATAGCACTTCCTATCTATCTATCCATTTTGTGGTTCTTGACAAGCTTTACCACATCAATGCTATTTTTTTCTAAATACTGTCTTGTCTAACCTTCATATTTCAACATAAAATGCATGCTCCCCTTAGCTTAGCATTTCTATTGCCTGGCCCAGTGCCTAATTCTTAGTTTCTTATACATTGTTTTTATGAGTACATATTAACTGCATATAATTAACATGTTATAGATATTTTATGCATGCATACAGCATATTTGACCACAACCTTCCCCTATTACTCTTCCTTATCATACCTTTACCTTTCTTCTCCCTCTCCTCAACTATTGCCTCTTCTCTAATAGTCTTCTTTCTCTCTAATAGTCTTCTTCCCTCTCCTCAACTATTGCCTCTTCTCTAATAGTCTACTTTTTTTTAAGTTAAGCCACCTTATTTATTCATTTACTTATTTATGTGTGGTACATAATGATTACATTTATTGTGTGGAGTTCACACATGTGCATAACATCTCATAATTCATTTTTATCCCATCTCCTTCTCCAACCCTTCTTTCTCTCTCCATTTGTAAAATCTCTATTTTTATTTTTTTTCTTTAACTGTTTTTTAATCCTTTCCTTTTCTTCCCTTTCCCCTCCTTCTGTCTCTTGTTCATCTTCCCATTTGAAAATATCTCTACTACCTAATATCATGTATTTTACTCCTTATTTATACTTTAGGATTCTCTTATAAGAAGAATAAAGCAATATTTAAACTTGTTTGTCTGATTTATTACACTTAATATCATAATCTCAACATGCATGTGTTTACTTAAATATAATTCCAATTTCTGCTTTTTGTGGTAGAGTAGTCTGCTATTGTATGAAAATATATTTTCTTTATTTGTTTATCTGATCATGGGCATATAGGCTTTTTCTAAGATTTAGCTGTTATAAATTGTGCTGCTGGGGATTTAGCTCAGTGGCATAAGTGGTGCCTTGCAAGCCTGTGGTGGTGAGTTCGATCCCTGGTACCGGTAAAAATACAAAAAAAAAAAAAAGAAAGAAAGAAAGAAAATCACAAACATGGATATATACATATCACTGTAGTATGATGGACTTCAACTCTTCCAGGAAGATACCTAGAAGAGGAATACCTGGGTCAAATAGAATTTGAAATTTTACTTTTTTGAAGGATCTTAACGCTGATTTCTGTAGTGATTGTATCAGTTTACAATCCCACCAACAATGGAGAAGAGTTTCTTTCTCTCCACAGCCTCACCAGCATTTGCTATTGGTTGATTTCTTGATGATTCACATTTTTTTCTGAAATGAAAAAGAATCTCAGTGTTTTTTTAATTTACATTTTTCAAATGACCAGCAACGTTGAACATTTTTTCATGTATTTATTGACTATAAGTACTTCATCTGAGAAGTAGCTGTTCACTTCAGATGTTCATTTGGGGATTGGGTATTTAAATTAGGGGGATCTAATATTTTTCAGTTCATTATATATTCTAGATATTAGTCTTCTGTCTAAAGAGTAGCAAGCACAAATTTTTCCCATACTATAGATTATCTTTTCACACTACTGGTGGTTTCCTTTGATGTGCAGAAACTTTTTAATTTAATGTGATCATTTTTGTTGATGCTTACTATTATTTCTTGTGGGGCTAGAGTCTGCCAAAAAAATTTTTTTAAATTTTATTTAAGGAGAAAAAGAAAAAAAGCAGAGAAAGGGTACAAGTTATACAGATTTACAGGAAAAAAAAATAAACAGTAGGAAATCACTAGTTAATGGATTACATATTGTCATCTTAGAAATAATTGTTCAAGTTACAAAATTAAAGCTTATAAAGTGGACATTCTAACTGTGAGACTGCAAACAGTCCTGTTCAATGATCCAACAAAACTCAGTGATATCATTATCTATCTTATAAACTTAAATATACATACAGTTATATCATTTAGAGCACTTTCTTTTCCTCTCTTTTGTACAATGACAATTACACATTTTGGGTTTTGTTGCTCCCACAGTTCTTATTACTTTTTTGGAAGAGAGTAGAACCAAATGTGACATAACAGAACAGAGTCAGTCAAATCAAAAGGGTGGACATAATAGATAATGTAAAATCATAATACAAGGTGATCAACAATGGTTACCATAATGCCTCCCGCTATCTCTCGTAGAATTGCCTATATCATCAGTTATAATAAAATTGAACAAATCAGTATAGAACAAAACTGACAAAACCAAAACATTAGAGACATTATAGATCTTCAAAAGTAGATAATAGTCAACCAGAATGGGCATCATAATGAATCCCACTATCTTCACAGCTGTTGCCTAAACTTTCGAACCTGGTACTATCAAGCAAAACAGAATAGAGGGACATCAGTCAAAACAAGATGGTGAGAGCAATACAGGGCTTTAAATCAAGATAATGGAAAGTCAAAGTGGGTTACTATAATATATCCTGCAATTTTTTATTCATTTTTCCCTTAATTAAAAGGATAAAAATAAAAAAGTAAATAATAAAGTGGAGATTGAGATAAAAGAGGGCATAACAGCAAAACAGCGCAGATCAAAACATAACCATTTAAGCAAAATAGTATTTCACCACAAGATAATCCCGACATAAAAGTAGTTACCATATTGTCTCTTTCTTTGAAATCTTTGAGTATAACTTCGTATACTGTAGCATCAAATATATCAAAACAATGTAAAACCATTTAAGAGAATGACAGTATTACAGGGCATTTAGAATCAACTAACAGAAAATGAACAATGGTTTCTGTATAATCTCCTTGTCTATAAAAGTTTTTGCTTATATTATCATATATAATAAAATCCAATAAGATACAACCTGTTTAGACCAATGGAGACAGAAGAACAAAAGCTTGATGAGACTTCAAAACAAGATGATACTAAATCAGCATTACCTATTAAGATGTCATTTTCTCCAAAATAACTGTTCCTATCATCCAATCTTCTCTGCCTCATTTC